ATACAACATGCTGCTTACTTCACCGTTTCCTAGAGGTCAGACTAAATGAAGGTTGTTTAAAAGATGGAAAAAGACGGTACAGGTTTGTACCCATAAGTGAAAGAGACGAAGTAGAAACATAAACAGTTCCTTGAACCGAGGAGGGATTCAGATTTCAGACTTTCTACAGTACGATATCCTGTTGTGCCTTTTTATTTAAAGTGGACCCAGTCTGCTCATTTCAGACTCAATATTTGTAGTCTTGAAGTCTGCCAGTGTAGCTTTGTACTTTTAGCTGTCCTCCCTTTTAAAGCCAGCTTTCTTCTGATTGGCTGCTCCTCCCTAAGCAGGATGTTTGAACAGTAGGTGGGTGGAGCTTCTGTGTGCCTTAGATGAAGATAATGGGTGGGGGGGAGGGTATCTGTGCACCCTATGACATCATTCAGCCAAAAGGCACAATAGGTCCACTTTGTGTGCTCAGTCTATCATATTGATGCGTTGTCTGGGCAACCTCTGTTATGGAGGGAGTTTTTAAACTTGGAGTGTTTGTCCCCTTTGGTGCAGTTTCTTTTTGTGCTGAAAAATCTAAGCCAACTAAAAACTCATTAGTATGAACCAAACAGGGCCACCCAGAAATGGGACCGCCTTAGTGGTCTTAGCGCCGTTGCTTCAGGCCGAATGCAACTTGCACCAAAGCGGAGAAATGGACCTGAGCTCGCAGGTTGACCTGTCAGCACGTCTAAAGCCTTCGCTGCTGCTTTCAGGACCTGACGGCGCTCGCCAAGGAGCTGCGCGCAGTCGACGATGTGCGACCTCCTCACAAGGTCACAGACTACTCCTCCTCCAGTGACGAGTCGGGCACGACCGATGAGGAGGACGAGGAAGAGGTGGACCAGGAGGCAGGAGAAGAGTCCACCTCAGGGGCCGAGGACTCCAAAGCTGGGTAATACACCTGATGCCTCTGTTATTAATTTAGTATTTTGTGTTGAAGTATAAAGCACTGCGTGATATATGTATATGTATATATTTGTTGTCTGATAATGTTCAAACATGTTGAGCTGCAGTTAAATACCAATCAGTGCTGCATGGCTTATCTGCATGACTGCTGATTTAACTCTGGTCTGGTTATGGGACATCAGATATCCCCATGGCTTCCGCAGGAGAGTGAGTAACGGCGAGACGGAGTCTGCTAAAACCATGCTGGTTGAAGACTCGGAAAGCGATCAGGCAACCACACCCTCCAAGGATGGCACACTGGTCATCAGACAGGTAAGAAGGACGGGCCGGTGGTGCCTGATTTTGACCGATTGGTGGTGCTGATTAGAAATGTAGTTTAAAATTTTCTCTGTCCAGCGTAAGTGTTGTTTTAACTACTCATTCTCCACAATTTCTTCGTTGTTCCTGCATATGATCATGCCATTTCATTCAGGCCTTCACATTTGAAGATGAATAATCTTAATATGTCAGGTTGCTACACCAAGCAGCAGGCTAGCAGCCAGACACACAGCTCCACCTTCTTTCCCACCTGCTTGCTTGAGCCCAAGTGTGCCTGTTCTTGCTTCCAGAGCACAGCTGACATAAAGCGGTTGGTCACTCTCTCATCTCCCTCCCCTTCCTCGGCTGGCCACGGCCAACCCCAGCCCCCTGGTCGCGGCCCGCTAGAGAAAAACGGCTTTCCGGGCCGCATACACCACCTACCAGACCTTATCCAGCAGAGCCATCATTCCACTTCCTCTTCCACAACCATCCCTTCCTTCTCCTCCTCCTCCTCCTCTTCCACCACCACTACCTCTTCCTCCTTACCCTCATCATCTAGCCATGCCAGTCCTGCAGTATCCCCACAGATCTCTTTGGACGAGCTCACTGCCATAGAGGTATGTCGCCATCACACAACTAAGGGCAAACAGCTGAGGAGTGGGCAGTAGAAAGGATGTGCAGACTTTTTGTATAGCTTTAAAAAATGGTATCAGGTTTATTGTGACGGCTATAAAATGCAAACCTCCATCTCGGTCTGTACACGTCAGCTGTCCATTCCTGGGTTGCCTGCCCTGCATCCTCTCCTCCTCCATGTCCTGCTGGCTTCACACTTCCGCTTCTCTGCTCACTCTTCACTCGGCTGGTTTGAATCTTCTGAGCTGCTGCAACCTCCTTTCCCCTCCCGCACTTCACTGCATTACACTGTGCTAACACTGGCGCCTCCTTGTGGCACAACGTGCTCACAACACGCAGGAAACTAAAGCCCGAGCTTCTTGGGATTTGTATGAATATTTCTAAGATAAATGTCCCATTTATAGAGCAGCACTACCTTGCAAACAACATGCGTCTTGGGTGGTGGAGTATCCTTGTGTGTCTGTGCTTCATTAAGAGCAGCTTTTTTTCTTCTCCTCTCTAACAGTTCACAGCAGCCTGTGTTTGGATCACTTAATGTTTCCTTCAACACATTTTTTTCTTCTTGTTGCACATGTTGTTTGTCCTCTCTGACATATTTTGTGCCTTCACTAACATCAAAACAATTAACATAACTGCACTTTTTCGTTTGCTTTTTTTTCCGGGGTGGGTGGTGGGGGGACTTTGTTCCCAGTTGTGCTGTAAAAATGCGGTTTTGAAGGCATTTAAGCTGGATGTTGTTTAACGAGACCCCAGAGGTAGAGCTATAACTCATGAGCTCAAACCTGAGGGGCCTCTGCTGCCGTTTAAATAAACAGTCGTTCTTAGGAATTACAAATCACTGTAACAAATCAAGTTTGATTCATGTTTCAGCTCGGTGCATTTTAAGTTATTTTATTGGGAATGTTTTGAGCTCTAGGTTTTCTAAATATCCGATATCTCCACCAGTCGCAGTCGGAGAGCAACTCCATGTCCAAACACAAGTCCTCCTCCTCGTTCACGCCCTTCATCGACCCGCGTCTGCTGCAGATATCTCCATCCAGCGGGAGCTCCCTCAACAACATGGGTAAGTCTG